AGCTTTACCGTACGTTCACACCGAAAGCGGCGAGAGCGTCCAAGGTCGCTCTGGCCGCCCTGGCGACAACGCTGTCTGCCTTCAGCTCCGGCGGCGAGAGCGTCAAAACTCACTACATTGATCTCGTACTTAAAGGAGCCGTTGCAGCATATCAGTTACATTCCTGCATAAGACATGTTTTTAGCGTGAAAATGTTGCGCTCCTTTTATCAAATTCATATAACAATGGAAGATCAAGTTGCGTGTGGTGTGGCTTTGCTCTATTTATCCAATATGTGTCCATATGTCTGAAATATCCTGAAGCAGCAGTACTGTTTTGTACTGTCACATCGCGTGAGATTCCCGCTTTTTAAAGATAATTTTTTATATAACATTAATGAACATCAGTAACTCGCCAGTAACTTATTTAATGTATGTTCCTGTAAGAAAACATTGGAAATTGGAAATCCGGCGACCGCAATAATCAAACCCTTGGGAACAACTGTGGTCGGAACCAAAGTTCACAGGTCTGTGTTCCCTGAACTGCTATCAAGCGGTGGACGTCTTCATTCTGATTGCTTGCCGCCGAACCGCGTCATAGCTCATTACCATAAAGTTGACTTCATTTCAACTCTCCTCGACGCTCACGCCGGCGAAGACGCGCCGCGCTGCTCCTCGCCGCTTATCGTCGCCTATCGCCGCCAGCTTTCATTGAAAATGAATGACTTCCGGCTACTTTGACGCTCTCGCCGCTTTCGGTGTGAACGTACGGTTAGAGTTCATTTTGAAGCCGAATTAAAGCTAATTTGTTCAGTTCAAACCACTGAGCACCATAGAAATCCACTCTATAGGGGAAAAACCAGGGATGTTTTTTTCAGAAATTTCTTTTTGACTGCAGAAAGATGAAATGAACATCTCGGATGACATGGGGTTGAGTAAATAAACAGGAAATTACAGTTCTAGAAATGATTAAGCTTTATTAATATTTTTTGTTGTAACTGCTACACAAGTAATTTGGTTGCATTTGTAACACAACAGGGTAAAACCAGCAATCTTTGACCTGCTGTTGGCCGTCTGTATCGCATCTTATCTCGGAGTGCTGTATTTGGCCATTCAGGTAAGATCAATTTAGTGCTGGTTTTATTATTATTATTTGCTTAAATCGTATAATAAATCATATAATGACTGATCGTCAACTCTGAAAACTGGACTGACACGGTTTCAATTTTTCTATGTCAAACTGCTTTGACACAATCTACATTGTAAAAGTGCTATAAATATAAATAAAGATGAATTGAATATAGTTATCCAATAAACATTATATAATGTACAATAATAATTATATTAATTGAATATAAAGCAGCATTTAAATTTTTTACCCTAGTAAATATAAAGTTAGTTATAAATAAATATAGTTAAAAACTAGCAGTTAATGTAATTTATAAAAGCATTGCAAAAGTATTATTGATTACTATCTTTAGTATACCATTTCCTCCTTTAATTTGTATCAATATTGCATTGATATTTAATGTTTTAGTTTTATTTAGACTATTGAATAAGATATTATGATTATTCTTGTTTCTTTATTCTTGTTATATATATATATATATATATATATATATATATATATATATATATATATATATATATATATATATATATATATATAAAATACTGATCCTAGTAAATGTAAAATTGTATTTACGATCTGTCTATGTATCAATTTATCTATGTCTTAATATAATTAATTGTTAATTTACTGTAATATAAACAGCTATTGTGATGGCTGCGAAGCACTGCTTTAAGAACCAATGGAATGACCAAAACAACATGTAAAATGTTTTACAGTGAGATCAGCCTGCTGGTTTGTCTATTCACAAAGTTTTATCATCACATGATCTCTTGTAACAAAATCACATGACTTTTTTAATGCACATACTGATATTTGTTCATAAAGATGTTTCCACATTGTAGTTTTTCTAATCAAATAAAAAGTTTATCATACTCTTGTTATATGCCTATGTGCGCTTCTTGGCATTTGCATCAACCATTTTTATGAGCAAATCTAAATTGCGCATAAAAATTGGTGGATGGAAACATAGCTAGTGAATCATTTTGGGAAGCGATTGCTTCGATAGTTTTGAAGGTTTGAAAATATTTTTCCCCATCGCTAATTGTAATGTTTGTGTTCCTGCAGAATTTTGGACTCCTGTATGGTTTTCTGCGCAGAGTCACGGCTCCTCGGGTCAAGCAGCACTGAGCGACTCGTCACTTCATGCGCCTGCAATACGAAACAGAGCCAAGTGTGTGTTTGCATTCTTTATATCACTCACAGTTTGTCCGATTGATCGACTGATTGCCTTTTTGAGAATGAACGTTGATTTTTCATGCCAAGTGTTCATCCACTACATCTCCGCTAGCCTTCGAAGTCTTCCTCGTCTCAGCGTTGCCTCAAGTCCTGTATTCTTAAAAAATACAATCCGCAATTGTTCGAATGCAGTTGAGTTCATTTCGATTGTTTCGTGGAATCAATTGAGGATTGTAGTTTCCTGAAAGCCCTTCCTCGTGTGGTTTTTCTTCTCTGGCAGCTACTGTAAAGTGGGCCAAAATGGTTGCTGGTTGGGTTGACGCTCTTCAATCTTCGAAATGCTGATTCTTTTCAGAGCGAGTATTAAAATGATGTCTAAAATTATGTTCGGAAACATTTGGCATTTCATGTTTCGCTTTTATTCCTTCGGTTTTTCCTCAGAGTTATTTACTTAAGTTAGTAATTCTGTCATTTCTTTCTTGTCTTGTTTTGACATCCGAAGTCCAGTTCTGCTTCTCATCGGGAGGTAGTTTGGTACAGATTTGCTGTTATTTATACTTCGACATGCACTGATTTGTTTTATGTTTATTCTCTGAATTTGATTTGACATTACAAATCAAGAGGTACATAAACTTGATTCTCGAGGATGAAGAAATATAAAGAAAAATAAAGGCATTTGTTGAATGAAAACAATGGAGCAGTTGTTTTTATTTCCTTTGGACGGTTTTTATTAAATGAAAAAACAACACAACACATCTTGTTTCAGTTCAGCTGGAATTATTACAATTCTTCTAATACACATGAGATAAAAACCTGTCACTCCTTTAGTGGTCTGATCAAGAATAAGTGGTCCATTTAAAAATGACAAATTTTCAAACAAAATGAATAACTTATTATTCAATGTTAAATTAATCTGTATAAATTTATTTCCTAAACACAGTTTGTACAGGAAAATTGAAACAGTAGTAAGAAATTACAGTGCAATTTTATTAATTAACATGATAAACCATGGATAATAAAACACCCCAAAAACACCTCAAATCCTCAACCGCACTGCCTTAACACTCACTGGGCGGTTAATAAATATTTTTGGCACTTTTATTTAAATATATCCTAGATTTCCACTCTCCAAACTCTCATTCTGACTGACATAAAAATTAATTAGCTAATTACAGATAATAATCAATGGAGTGTATGGTGGCGTTTAACGGGTTGTTGCTAGATCGGATATGCAACGAGGCCGGAAGTGAACGACAATTATTTAATAAATTTCCCATTTATTGTATTTTAATGCCTACGCCCACCCCAATCCTAAACCCAAAAGTCACAGCCCAAATAGTAATCGGCCCGAGCTCGGCTGCCCTTCGGCGGCTCCGACTCGACATTGGCGAGTGTTATCCGGGCCGAGTGCAGCCCGCAGCTCGCTCGCGCGCATGTGTTTGTGATGCGGCTGTAAAGTACTGGCCCGATTCATGTTAACCATATCTGGCCCGAGTCTGTCTGGAGAGTCCGGGCCGCTTCTGGCAAGGACTCTGCTGATGGCAACCGATTAAATTCTAATTTTATCTAGTAATTTGTTAGCTCAAAGTTCAATGATAATTTGAGAAAATATGGCACGACAGCAACAAAATAATATTTTGTGTGGATGGTCGCAATGTTTAGACGCAAACAAAACAATATTATTTATAAATGGATTATACATATCATTTAGAGAAAAACTGTGTAAAATGCGCTTATTATCGAGATAGCACACTCCTCTGTCGACTGTTTTTTTTTTTTTTTAAAGCAACGTAGAAACAGTAGTTGTACTGAATATTATTTATGCTATCTATTAAATTATCCAATAAATTGTATTTTATTAACGTCTACCCCCACCCCAACTGTCACTGTAATGTAAAAACAGTAGTTGTACCGAATATTATTTATGCTATCTATTAAATTACCCAAAAAATTTTATTTTTAACACCAACCCTAAACCCAATTGTCACAGTATTGTAAAAATATTAATTATAGTTTTACTGTGTCATAAAAATGCTACTATGATGAACATATCGCACTTCCGACCAGCCGTGTATCCGATCTAGACTTTACCCGTTTAACGGTCGTTGGAATCAAAGTTTCTGCGCATGCCCGTTTCTGTCATCATAACAAAACAAGTAGCGCCTCTGCTAATGAGCCGAAATTAGGTTTAAATGTCACAAAATACCTCAGAACGAACGTCTCCACGAGTACTTCGTTATTTTCAGTGCTTTGACAATGCCAGGTAAGGAAACTGAAAGGAATTTACCACCTACTCGATGATTGACGCGCGCATATCGAATACAGCAGCAGCTTCAATGAATATTACACGAAAAAAATATGTGCCAGTGAACTTTTCCATGAACAAAATTAACTCGGACATAAAGCAGTTAGCATTAGCACACGCTAGCATCCGGAACGGAAGACAGCTCGTTAGCATCTGAACGTGAAGATTAGCTTTTTTCCACGACAGGTTTTGTTTTGATACAGTAGGCAAACCAACAATTCAAGTATGGACAACTGGGTAATCATTTCCACTCGACTTTTTTTTCTCTATTACAGCATATTATCAAAACTCATGCATTCCCGAATACAACATTCGAATAAATACTCTAATTTGTGTAGGAAGTTCAAATGTTTGTCCATTACGAGCATAGACGACTGTGTTGTCGATCCATGTTTATATATTAACTTAACGCGATATTGGAGTATAGTTTTAGCCAATAGAAAGCTAGCTTTTTTTAAATGCCATTGCAGCAGTGCTCGTGGGAAAAATCCACATAAGGAATGCAAGCAGTATTTTTTAGAAACTAATCCGAAGATTGAAAACAATTCCCTTTCAGTCATGTACATTCAAACACTAGCTAACACTGTACACACATGACTAGCAGATGGTTTAAAAAGAAAGCTGATTGGTGCAGTAGTTCCCAAATAGTTTTGATGTATTGTGTATTGCATTTGTTTAAAACTTCTCTGGTAAAATGTATCAAAATTAAGTGACATTTTACTTCAGAAATCTACTAATGGGGTGTGAAATCTTAATTTAAATGTGAACAAGTTAAGTTTTTTATTCAATTAGCAGATTTTTATTTCTTGTTTTAAGTGTCGCTCAATTTTAAACCTTAAAATACATCTTGTGGTATTTTGCTTAAATATGTGTATGAGTCAAATATTTAGAGCCTAAATGTGCAGGTAAACATCAAATCATTCCTTATTAAGCTCTTTATCTTTGTAACCCAAGTTTATTGCTGTCTACGCAATTTATTGGTATTCATTTGTTCCAAATAATATAACAGAGTGTGGTTTGACGTCCTGCCCTTTGTTTGCAAACAACTATAATAGTTTTGATGTATTATTTTTATATTGCACTATAACTTTAAAACTTCTGATAAAATGTGTTAATATTAAGTGAGATTTTACTTCAGAAATCCACTAATGAGGTGTGAATCTTAATTTAAATGGGAACACGTTTTTTATTCTATTAGCAGATTTTTTTTAAGCGTCACTTAATTTTAAACATTAAAATACTACGTCTTGTGGTGTTTTGCTTAAATATGTGTATGGTAAAAAAACATTTAGAGCCTGAATGTGCAGGTAAACAACATCAAATCATTCCTTATTAAGCTTTTTATCTTCGTAACCTATGCTTATTGTTGTCTACGTAATTTATTGACATTTATTTGTGCCAAATAATATCACTGAGTTTGATTTGACGTCCTGCGCTTTGTTTGCAAACAACTATAATAGTTTTGATGTATTATTTTTGTATTGCACTATAATTGTTTAAAACTGATAAAATTTATAAAAATTAAGTGACATTTTACTTCAGAAATCCACTAATGAGGTGTGAAATCTTAATTTAACTGAGAACAAGTTCAGTTTTTTATTCCATTAGCAGATTTTTTTTTTTTTCTTGTTTTAAGTGGCGCTTAATTTTAAACATTAAAATACTACGTCTCATGGTATTTTGCTTAAATATGTGTATGATTCAAATATTTAGAGCCTAAATGTGCAGGTAAAAATCAAATCATTCCTTATTAAGCTCTTTATCTTTGTAACCCAAGTTTATTGCTGTCTACAGAATTTATTGGTATTCATTTGTTCCAAATAATATAACAGAGTGTGGTTTGACGTCCTGCCCTTTGTTCGCAAACAACTATAATAGTTTTGATGTATTATTTTTATATTGCACTATAACTTTAAAACTTCTGATAAAATGTATTATTATTAAGTGAGATTTAACTTCAGAAATCCACAAAGGAGGTGTAAAATCCTAATTTAAATGGGAACACGTTTTTGATTCTATTAGCAGATTTTTTTTAAGCGTCACTTAATTTTAAACATTAAAATACTACGTCTTGTGGTGTTTTGCCTAAATATGTGTATGTTTAAAATATGTAGAGCCTAAATGTGCAGGTAAAAAACATCAAATCATTCCTTATTAAGCTCTTTATATTTCTAACCCATGTTTACTGTTGTCTACGTAATTTATTGACATTTATTTGTGCCAAATAATATCACTGAGTGTGATTTGACATCCTGCACTTTGTTTGCAAACAACTATAATAATTTTGATGTATTATTTTTGTATTCCTCTATAATTGTTTAAAACTTCTGATAAAATGTATTAAAATTAGGTGAGATTTAAATGGGAACAAGTTTTTTATTCTATTAGCAGATTTGTTTTAAGCGTCACTTAATTTTAAACATTAAAATACTACGTCTTGTGGTGTTTTGCTTAAATATGCGTATTGTTAAAATATGTAAACCCTGAATGTGCAGGTAAACAACATCAAATCATTCCTTATTAAGCTCTTTTTCTTCGTAACCTATGCTTATTGTTGTCTACGTAATTTATTGACATTTATTTGTGCCAAATAATATCACTGAGTTTGATTTGACGCCCTGCGCTTTGTTTGCAAACAACTATAATAGTTTTGATGTATTATTTTTGTATTGCGCAATAATTGTTTAAAACTTCTCTGGTAAAATGTATCAAAATTAAGTGACATTTTACTTCAGAAATCTAATAATTGGGTGTGAAATCTTAATTTAAATAAGAACAAGTTCAGTTTTTTATTCCATTAGGAGATTTTTATTTCTTGTCTTTAGTTTTGCTCAGTTTTAAACATTAAAATACTACGTCTTGTGGTATTTTGCTTAAATATGTGTATGATTTAAATATTTAGAGCCTAAATGTGCAGGTAAACAACATCAAATCATTCCTTATTAAGCTCTTTATATTTCTAACCCATGTTTACTGTTGTCTACGTAATTTATTGACATTTATTTGTGCCAAATAATATCACTGAGTGTGATTTGACGTCCTGCGCTTTGTTTGCAAACAACTATAATAATTTTGATGTATTATTTTTGTATTCCTCTATAATTGTTTAAAACTTCTGATAAAATGTATTAAAATTAGGTGAGATTTAAATGGGAACAAGTTTTTTTTTCTATTAGCAGATTTGTTTTAAGCGTCACTTAATTTTAAACATTAAAATACTACGTCTTGTATTTTGCTTAAATATGTGTATGATTCAAATATGTAGAGCCTAAATGTGCAGGTAAACAACATCAAATCATTCCTTATTAAGCTCTTTATATTTCTAACCCATGTTTACTGTTGTCTACGTAATTTATTGGTATTCATTTGTGCCAAATCATATCATTGAGTGAGATTTGACGTCCTGCGATTTGTTTGCAAACAACTCAACAAGATACGGTATGAATTTATGAATTATACTACCCGTACTATCTAACACATTGTTAATTATTATTTTTATGTCTTATTATATGCATTTAATATTGCTATTTCTATTTCCCAGACCTTCAAACCCACCATTTGAGAACCACTCCACCAATAATCCACTACAAGATAAGTACTAATAACCCTTTTGAATGCCGTCGCTTCAGTTCTCCTGGAATCAAAATAAATACATACGAATAATCAAACCAACAAACGAAAAGTGGTCCCAGGTGATGACCACAAAATCAGCTGTACTTCATAATGCACAGGTTTGTATTTCATGGGCGGATATTTCGAAATAATTTCCATCTCAAGTTCCTGATTGACAACTGCAACGAAATCACACTCCTTTAACACAACGAGGACATTTTTAAAGCAATATCAGATGGATGACGATTAACATTCACAGTGCTAGGATTATATCATAACATGATGGAATTTTAAAAACGGTAGACAGCAGACGATAGTCGATTTGTTTCTTGTATGTTTTCCGGATGACTCTTCAAGCACCTAGGCGGTCTGAGGTTAGAATCAAACTAGGTCACATAAGTACCTTGCAGTCATTGTTCAGTGCCTGCAGGTGGCAGCACCTGCTCATTGTTGCTTCTTGTTGATCCCGTTCTGCACGTGTTTCCTACAAGAAAGAGATGTATATATTAAAAAAAAGCTCTTATTTGGGGGTGCTAGAAGAGATACCATAGCAGCCAGAAGCTAATGAGAATTGTTTATATACTTGGTGATTTGGGCGCCCTAAGCGATCCCAGGTATGGGCCCTAACATTAAAACTCAAAAGACTCTTTCTATATAGAGTAGATTTTATTTTCTTCAGTAGATTAGAATAAACTGCTTGTTAAAATACATTTTAAGTGCAACCTTTATCTTCCTAATGTAAAACTAATTACAATAAAATCACAAATAAATAGCAAGTTCAAAAACTGTACACTTAATTAGCCATGTTAGTGATTAGATTTTAATATTTGCATGTGCAGTACGAAAGAAACGTTCCATTATTCATGAGGGCCACTACTTTGGAAAAGAAGTAATACCATTAAAATCTTAATGTTTATAGAATGATTAATACTTAACATATGATAGAAAATTTATAAAAGAGCTATATGATTAATATAGGCTTTTTGGCATTGGTCGGGGCCCCCTTATTCCCTTGGTTTCTAAGCAGCTGCTTACTTTGATTATTGGTTATGTAAGAATTGAAATATTGCAAATATTCTGATATCTTTGACAATTCAAAACATGAGCTGAAAACAGAGACTGGTGACTTCACAACCCACCAGGGAGGAATGCGGGAAAAACCAGTTCCTGCTGCATTTGCATCTGAGTCTGCTTCATCCCCCTAACTCACACATATGGTCATTTCAATGTTTGAATGTTCTAGAATTAACCAAACTGACTTTAACTATCATGTTTGATATCATTTGAAATGTCTCAGTGCGATTGGTACAATGGTCTCATTCTCTCAGAAATAGACATAATCAGAACAATAAATATATAACTTCAGGCATCTTTTGAACCACTGTGAGGGGTGTGACACTAAGTGTGAATGCCTTTTGTTATACATTCACACCCCCTTTCTTGAGGGAATTCTCGGATTATTTAAGGTAAGGGCTAAGAAAAGCTCAAGGCGATTCTGCCTAACCAGATCAGCCCATAACATGGCTTGTTCCATGTTATGTATATTTCAAAGTCAGGAATGCATCTTTTTCATCTTGGATTTATCTTTGATAATTTGATGTTTTGTATTGATCGTTTATGAATTGACTGATTGAATTGGCATAATACATTTACCTGACTAATAAATTGTTATGTTTTGAATGATTCAAACAGAGTTCGTGTTATTATCACTGATAAATGTTGTTGTCCATAGCACTACAAGCCACTGTACAGGTTAGTAACGGACTAAAACATGTTAGACGGAGCAGCGTGGCACGCTAAACAATGTTGTTAGAGATCCGACTAACAAATTGGCATTATTTCATGTATATTTGGACTGTAAAAGGCCAACTATTTAGAACAACAAAATATTGTTGAAACTACTTTAAATGTGGATATTTAGGCCTTCATCTACAATAGTATAATCCTGCGCGATTATTATTAAAATACTTTGTCTTGATTAAGTAGATAACAGATCCATGGGGACCACATAAAAATCTCCTAAATTGAGTAAGTAGTGTTCTGCCTTTTTAGGAGAGTGGTTAATCGCCTCTGTTTAATGACCAAGACTGACAAGCTTGTATTAAGAGATTGTATACCCGGCCGGTGCAAGACTCGAGATGCTATCGGAATCTGAGTAAATGAGAATAAGGTATAATAACAAATCAAAAGAATATTCAATCACAATCTAAAATAATGTGAAAGGAAACAAAATAATCTTATCAATGTTTTATAATTGGAGTCAGATAAAACGAGGATAAACATATTAATATTCTAAACCATCTCATACTAAAATTGGAGTCAGATATGAGTTAAGTTTAATATAAATCAACATTGTGCACTGGAAAGACCGAACATGCAGTGAACCTTCATCCACCATTGGATACCGTCATTGGACCAACTGGCTGGACCCTACAAAATGGTGACCCCGACGTGATCTCCCAACTCAGGCGAGTTACGTCTTTCCAGCACAAAATGGATTTATATCAACCAAGAGGTTTGGATCTTCTATTCTATCTTCAGCTGCTGTGGTAAGTCAATTCTTCTTTGCCTATTAGAAATGTTGAGGGAAAGCTGGACGCACCCTTTATAAACACATTGATAGAATGAGTCGGAAATGCTCAAAAATGTTAGACCGGAATGCGTTATCCGGTGGGGTTGAGAATTAGACAAAACCACTTTGATTATCAGGGACATGATAGCAGCAGTATAGATAAATGCCATCCCTTGCTCTGAAATCTCTTTGTCTGCTAGGCAGCAAGAGTTGAAGCTTAAAATTGGAATAACATCATCCAAATTATATTCTGGAACTCAGTGGAGAGTCATAAATTAGATCCTAAAAGTTTAAATCAAAAACTATCCATTGTTTTAAATCTACTGTTTTATAAAAAAGAGAAAAATGGAAAAAAGGAAAACAGGAAAAAATGGTTTAAGATTTAAAAACAATTGTAAACTTTTAAATTGGATTAATAACAACAGTCTGTTTAAAGGCATTTGCATGTGAAAAATAAAGGTGAGCAGAACAGAATGATTTGATTGCAAAAAAGACAAATAGGCTCTAATGAAAAATCTGCTTTTACAAATCAGAAATTTGTCATTTAAATATAATGGTGATAAATTCAAATATGATGCTGATCAACTACACTGTAATCCCGAATAAGTTGACAAAACTCAAAAAATTTGAGGCAATCAGTTATGTAAAATTTTTTAAGTTATGAAATTATCTATTTTAAGTTAACAGAAACATTAAGTTTTGAGCTTGTTATACTCATGCAAGACACTTCAACTAACTTAAAATACCCAAGTTACTCAACTTATACATTTTAATTGCAATTAACTTAATTCCAAACTTTAAATACTTAAATCACCCAGCTGATAGCATTTTTTAAAGATTACATTTTTTCAAACTCAAAAATAAGAAAAAGTTCTGAATACTCATTAAGGTTAATTAAGATAAACGAATTTTAAGGATTTAAGTTAATAGAGCTCAATTCAATTAATTAGTTACAGCATTAGGGTTTACAGTGTAAAATATCCACTATACTTTAATTTAATCTCAAAACAGACTAAATATAAAAGAAATTCTAAGATTTTAACTTTAAATCAGCCCTTAGACCTCCTGATGGCTCAAACCTTTTCATATTCAAATGTCCTGACAGAGAGCAGAGAAATCTCACCTCAGTGATAATAAGATGCTCAGAATGTGTTTGCTGTATTTGCATAAAACAATACATTCTTCCATTTGGCCATAAGCCTTTGCTGACCCTTTTGTTCTCCATGCAACTTACAAGCAAACACAACCCTGATCACAAGATAAAAGCATTAAGCTAAAATGCACTGTTGTTCTAAAAACACTCTCCAGAGACCAGATATAATTAAATTTTAATATTTAATATTTTAATATAATATAATTACATTAGGAATAAACAATAATGAACATTATATTATAATCGCCAATCATGGCACTAAAGACCAAGGGTGAAACATTCACCTTGAGGAGGTTTGCTTTCTTTATGCTTAATGAAAACACTGACAGAACTACTATAGCATAACTGATTGTAAACCAATAAAATCCTCGCTGAAAAACACCACCTACAATTAAAATTTGATCAGAGAATTAAACTCACCAGAAAAATAATGAAAGGGGGATGGATATGATAACATTCAGAGTTACCAAAGTTTTTATGGGTCAAAAGATCTAACCTGTGAGTCACACCATAAAATGACAACCGTTAAGCAGAGAACACCAAAAGGGTGAAATGATTTCTGCCAACAGATCTGACTGTTAATGAGAGCAAAAAATGAACTATGGGTATCGGCCCATTAGATTGTGAACTGAAATTAATGAAAAATCATTGATTGATTCAGAAAAATGTCCCCAGCGGAACTGGGAGATAATGCTCAGAATACAGCAGACTGTGTAAACAGGTGTTACACACTCACAATATGCTGAAATCAACAACAGCAATTCACATCTGACCAGCAACATCATGTGGCTTCCAGAATTAATATTGCAAGATGATGCATTAACATTAATTCCACATGATTGAATTTGAAACTGATGAAAATTCTAAAAATGGTTCTCTCTGCTTTTGTTCTCATCTTAGGCGGACCAATAACAAAGAACACTCCAGATCCGGTCCACATCAAACAAATACAAATGAGGGCAACAAAAGGTTAAGCCATAGCCTGAGGCCAAAAGTCTCCCATCTTGCATCTCAAAGCAAGAACCCCTGTGGTGCTAACACCTCACCTGCAGTGAGTCCTCTGAAAAAAAGTCTTTGATCAGTCATCAGAATAACAATTATCCACAGCTGATCTTATCAATGGATTCAGCATTCTAGGAGGCTATGTGATTTCGCAAAACATCTTTCTTCAACAAAGATGTAAATTTACATGTTAAATGAAACAGAGACACAAAAAGATCTCATAGTTAAAATCTTCCCAAATTGCTTAATAGCAATGGGACTAAAACCTTGGTTACCTAGAGGCGATAAAGAACTTTACTGCATTGTTCCTGCAAAGACCAATAGCAACAGACTCTATTGTCACGAATCCTGGTGGCATTTTTAAATTTGTTTTTATACTATACACATGTTAAACCACATGTCCTGTATGAAAATGGAATTAACTATGTTGAAATTCATGCTTTGATCTCCAAAAGTAGAAAACTCTGCTATCCCCTGTATAGCTGCAGTTTGAACTACAAACAGGAGTATAGAGTGTGATAATTAAATTAACCATGAAAATGCATTTTTTACAGGATCCAGCGTTGAACATTGCACCTTAAAATGCTCCGTAAAAGATATTATATGGAATCAATTTGAGCCGGAACACACCTCATGTTCACATTCTTATGCTGGCTCCCTGTTAAACAGGACTAAAATTTTGCAACACAATTATAAAAGTTGATTACCATTGTTCGGAGCATTACACTGACACATAGCCACAGGTAAACCCAGGCAC